GATTCAATTCAATTACTTCTTTTTGACTTCAAAGACCCGCCAACTATACGAAATATAACCACGTCATCTAGTAAGTCTGGTATTGGTCAGACAGTGACCATGAAGTGTTTTTCAAACGGTGTTCCAACACCCACACTTACCTGGTACAAACCTGATGGAAGTGAAATAAACAAAGAAAGAGCACGAGAAACCGAAGTACACTTAAAACTGATGGGTGATCAAGATTTTGGTGATTACAAGTGCAATGCTGTCAATGGATTGAGTCCCTCTGATGAGCGAGTTGTAAAGATAACACAGATAAGTAAGTTTCACTCGGAGATTCACCGTTAAGTGGCACCACGTAATCTCCAAAAGCATTTCTAAGAAAGAAAACTCGAAATTGCAAAAAAAAACATATTTCTATATGACTCTTTGAATGCTGTATTTGTTTGAACTAATATTGACATCCTCAGAAATGTAATTTCGCATCTCCTTAAATGCGAGACAAGGGCAAGAGGAAATTCCAACGTTCTTATTAGAAAAATTATAGTCTCTATACGAATTTAGTCTGACAGAAGTGCAGAAAAAGCCTAACTATTAAGAGGACGATATGATGGCAAAGAAACTTCCCAGTGACCGCTGACAGTAGAGATCAAGACAGAGGAGCCACGCGCACTCAGATATATTTCTTCGCTCACTTAAGCTCTTCGGTAAAATGCGATTTCCTTGGCTGTACTTGAATAGGAAGGCCAAATGCAAGTAAAACTTGTCTGTTTCAAACAAAAGGTATTATCAAAAACCTCGTGTAACTTACACCGTGTACACTTTCTCAGCTCTGAGTTTTATCAAGTGAGCAGAATATTTTATCACTGAATTTACCGCACGTTCTCTACTAATTTACTCGCCATTTTTTAATATGATTATGAAACAATAGATAGACCAGGCCCGCCAATCATGGGATTATCAGATGAAGGTATTCAGGCTAATTCACTAACAGTAAGGTGGACCGCACCAGCTAATGATGGAGGGAGTCCTATCACAGGATACCAAGTAGTCATGCTAAAAGGTGACACAGAAATAAACAATATTAATATTACTGATCCTGGTACAGCAAGATATACTTTCGGGGGTTTGGAAAGAGATATAAACTACGCGGTGAAAGTGTTTGCAAGAAATACTGTGTTTGAAGGAGAGCCTGTCGTAGCTACGCTTAAGACAAAGTTTGAAGGTAAGCAATCACAATAACGATATGTGTTCATTTCCTTACGCTACTCATAAGGAGATTCTAGTTTCAGATATTCGGTCAGCGTAACTTTGCAGACATTATATTCGGCTTTTTTCTTTATTGATCAAGGTCCCCCGGTAGAAGTGAAAATGTATGACCTCCCCAGTGAAACAACAGATCACGCAATCACCTTGAAGTGGAAGGAGCCAGAAGACTATGGAAAAGTAATTATACAGTATACTGTGTACCAAAGAATAGTGACTAATGGGAAATTAGGAAAGTGGACAGTCGTAGGGAAAATCACGGACATCTTAATCAAAGAGGTGACAGTCAAGTTGAAAAGGGGCAAGGTATATGAATTTGTAATCACTGCCACAAATGAACTTGGTGAAAGTTTAAAAGAAGAAACGATGATCAAAAGAGTAAAAGTGATAGATCTACAAAACAACAACAAGAAAGGTAAGAACGACATAAGGTTAGAGATTTTGATTCTAACTTTACGTTTTGAACTCAGCATTATGATGTTGTAAGTTTCGCATCTGGCGCTGCCGTTAGGTTCCCCAGTGGAGTGGAGCATGAAGCATCAATCTAACCCACAGTTCTCTGGGTCTGCTTGATGTATAATCGTGAAAGCATGAGGCGTTTATACGATGAAGAATATATAGTACGTATGCACTGTGGACCCAAAAGCTTAAGAAAGGCCGTGATCCAATTGGGCACAGGGACTTATGACTCCCCCCTCCCGCAACACCCCTTGAATTGTTCGCTTAGAAATCGCTGAGTCCATTCCTTAAAATAGTCCACTTTGAATAGCCAATGAGTAACGGTATTTAATGTTATTCAGACTTCAACAGTCTCTTTTTCCGTCCACGGTTCAGGGAAGAGAAAACTCGGGAAACATTTATTAATACAATCGTCATCACGTGTTTGAGCCCGTTATGTCGCAATTCCTACTTTCTATGAGTTGGGTAATGGGGCGTTCCCTTAAAAGGTATAACTTTAATTCCTACTTTTCTTTAGTTTTAGAAGAATGCAAGTGCTCATGCCACTGCGTCATGCTTATAGCCATAATTGGAGTGCTTGTATTTCTAATCCTTGTGTTATTCACTTATATTGTCTGGTTACATAAGAAAGGTAAATATCGTTATTCTTCAGTTTTGCTTTTATTTTTCGGTCTGATAATACCTTCTAGTAACTAATCATAGTTCTCTCAACGTATTTTGTTTCTTAGCCGCACCNTTTTTTCAAACTTTGTTGTTGTTATTCGACAATTTCACTCATCCAAACAGGACTCGTTTGAAATCTACCTTTCTTTCTGTTAATTACAAAGAGTGGAGTATTTGCATCATTTTCAGGTGGTTCACCATATCCACAGATGGATGGCAGGAAAATTGCCAAGCTACTTCAGCAGGACTACAGAATGCCTAGACCACGGCACTTGGACGACATATTGTAAGCTTTTCATACTGTTTCTTACCTTCAAGTTTCTCTTGATTATATAATTGATAATATACAAAGGCAAGTGTCAGTTAACTTTGTTTTGTCGTTAGGCTCATTGGAAGAAATAATTCGCCCAGTGATTGTTAAGCGGTGATATGATTGATATCAGTTTATGTATCCCATAAACTGATATCAAAATTAAAATATTTTTGAGGGGAAAAAAATTTGTTTCTCTGTATGTTTGTCTGTTGAACGTCTTCCACCTCATATCTTCCAGGTACCAGATCATGAAAAGATGCTGGCAAAATGATCCGGATGCTAGACCAACATTTACTCAATTGAGAAACCAGCTTAAGGAGATGGAAACCCAACACAGGGTGAGACTTTAGACAATCGTAACCAAAATAGAGATTATTCCGTGGAAAGTGTGCAAGATCGATTTTTGTTCACGAGTTGCAATGAATCAAAAAAACCGTCGAGAGTGCTGCAAACGATCGAGTTTCTTCTGTACATTATAATGAGTGAATAAAAATTGAGCAAGCTCTTCCATGGTATGGATTTATACATACTGAGCCGTGGAGCATGAAGTGAATGACATCATTCGTCCAATGAGACACAAAAGATAGTACTTCGTAGTTTAAATCTCAGATGAGACTTTCTCCATGTTAGGATGAAAGCGCATGTAGTTATATGTTTACATTCAGACCACTGTTAGAGGTGAGAATAGCCGCCGGCTTCGATATATCCCTCTAATTAATGAGAAATAATATTGTTTCCTTTTCTCTCTACAGAGGCTGATCAACATGAAAATGTACGACAAGCAGTTGTATGCAAACGTCGAGGACTTAAGCGTGTAGACATTTACGAAGTCGTGAACTCCTCGCTTCTTGACGAATGCAGATTTTTTATAGCAACCATGAGTGGTATCATATTCGCAATTGGTTCGAAATATAAACTGGTTAGGATGAGGCTGATTGAATTAAAGTCTCACCTATGGATCCATCAGATGATATGGCAAAGAATCCAATTCTGATCGAACTCTTTCTAAACCTTCTTAATGATAACGGAGTCCCTCTCGAGCCAGATTCCAATCTTTTTATTTATCTACTTTTTTTGGTTAGTTCGTTTTTTGTGAAAGTTCGTGTCAAAGGAGAGGACTTTAAAATAAAAATAAAGACAGCAAAGCATATTCTTTAATGCTGATTATTGTTTATGACTTGAAGCCACCGTCTTCCAAAACTTACCAATCCTGTATGTACTCCAGCCTTCTAACTCTCGCTGCATCCCGTATCTAATTTATTCAATGTATTTAAAATATATTGCAGTAAGAATCTGATATCCATTCTTACTGCACAGTACTCATAATGAAATGTTTATGACTTTGAACCTAAATGAGGACGGTAGTTAAAAAACAAAAAATCATTCGCCCCAGTCAGTGTTAAATCCTGGAATGAGTTACCATTAAGGGCCTCTTTACATGGAGGTGGGGGACCCTAAGCCTGCCTCCCTGTGGTCGAAAAATAACCCGCGTTTACATACAATCTTATCACCCCAGGATCCTGAGGTAGAATTTCTAGAGGTTGTTGTCGTGCGTGCAAATGAGGTATGGACACGATGCCAGCCAGAAGGGATACCCCACCCTCAGTCGTTTACATGGCAAACTGGGACCCCGTACCGGCTGAGAAGATTACCCAACACGGCACACCGGGCACCCCACCTACGCTGGCTACCCCACCTATGACATAAACGTGTTCAAGATACTAAGACAATTTATGGACAGGCGGGTCCACAATGTCCATGTAAACGGACCCAAAGTAAATGCAACCAGTCCTTTTTATTTTCTCTTCTGAAAAAAGTCTCTAGGCTATTGAATCAGTTTGGGTCGTTCTTCGAATGATAGTCGTGTTAGTTTCCTACAAAGTGTGCGCGGAGACCTGAGTCACCGACACAATCCAGCTACAGTAAACAAACAATCAATAAAAAAAATGCAATTGAACCACGAGAATAGTTTCCATTAATAGCGTTGATCCAGCCTTGTTGCCGTCTTCTTTTGGCAAGAGAAGCCACTAACATCGTAAACTGTATCTTTCCTCCAAGGTGTCATCGGCCTCATTTAAATCTAGGAAGGGGCTAGTCGTTCGCTTTAATTCCAAATGGTCAGAAGTCCATTTTTTTTAATTATTTCGTCGTACACATTCACCTCACTAGGTGCTCAGATCTCTCTGCAAGAAAATATTTTGTTTGTCCCTGCTGGTTTATCGCAGTTTCCCTTTAATTTCTTCATTATCTAACCTTTCAATAAAGTACTTTCTGTTTTTTTCAACAAACACAAAATCAGATATTAATGTATCTTTTTATTTGTTTACAATAAGGCTTCAAGACCAGGGTCTGAATCAAAATAATGCTTAGTTCACAGGGTAAACTCGACTTTTTAAACAACTCAGCCCTGATATAACATATTATTCATTTCTTCCACCTTTTGAGGATTTTGCATTGGATGAGAAGTAGTTATATAGTTATGCATCATGGAAATTAAGGTGATTCCCTTGTTTTACACTGGGCAACCTTTTCTGCGCATAACATGTACGACTCTCAAAACCTCAGAGAAGGAACGGTTACCAAGGAAAAGTTTACACGGAAACGAGGCTACCAGGGCCGTGATTCTTAAACTACGAAACAATGGAGTCGTCAAACGATCAAGTAATTCTAAGTGAAAGCGATATTACTGGTGCTTCTCGTTTGGGAAGGAAGTCCGAAGAACTTAAAAAATGACGAGCTAAAGTTTTGGCTGAAATGTCGAGGTGCTGCTGCTAAAAGGCATGTCTGAAATGACATAAAAGGCATGTCTGAAAACATCTCGCGCATCTTACTACCCTTCAATATCCGCGTCGCCCACAAAACCCATCACCATACTACGTCAGTTACTAACCAACTTTAAAGACAAAGACGAACCGAGGAACAGAGAGGGAACGATTTATAAGATCAATTGCTCCGACTGCCAAGCCTCCTACATCGGTGAGACTGGCAGAAACCTCACAACAAGACTGACTGAACACAGACGGGCGACGAGGAAAGGTGATGTCAGCAATCACATTGCTGAACACCATCGACTTACCAACCACAACATTGACTGGGACTCTGCGCAATGCCTAACCTACAGCACTGACTATTTTCAACGACTGACTCTGGAAAGCTGGTTTACTAACTTAGAACAGACTCCCCTAAACAGATGTCAACAACTACCCGCTCCATACAAACGACTCATTCACGACATAAACATCACAAACGACCGAAAAAGAATGACCTAACTTTACCGACAGATCGAAACAGACCAATCACGACCGACTTACGTCACTTGAGTCTTACAGCCAATAACATCACGGCAAAACCAACCCATCATTTCATACGAGCTGGAATAAGAACATTCCACTCACAAAAATCATTCACTTGTCTCTGATGATGACTTCCGCGCAGGTTGTCGAAACGTCAGTCACTACCACCGACAACAGTCCTTTTCAGGACTACACTCACCCGGACGATCAGACTACACCTTCACATGTTACCCCCGGGTTCAAGCCATTTACTAAAATAAAGTTATAGAAATAGAAAACAAATTACAAACATAAAAACTAAGTAGTATACAGGGTGTGTGAACATGATAGAATCAGATCTCAACGCTAACTTAACTAAATACATGATATTTCACTCTATGCTTAAAAATGAGAAAGGAGTCAATTTCTTTAAATAGAAGTGTCTCAGAGATTCCAATCTTCTGCGCCCATATATAAAAGTCTCTATTTCCCATAGTTCGTTTTTACACGAGGGAGGCGGAAATCGTTCGTTCTTCTTGTACTACATCTATGGAAGTCAGAATTCCTTAAAATATTAAAACTACAATCCACAAGGCCGTGAATGTACTTAAAGGTGGCAATGTATCTGTGGACAAGACGCCGTTGGAGCAGTGTTGGCCAGTTTAGAGAATTTAGAGCGCCGGTGGATGAGGCGTGATTCGGAAAATCAACGATAACTTTTGCAACTTTATTTTTTAGTATTTGCAAATCTTCCACGATAGTGGTGTTATTCTTGTCTTCCCAAACGATGTCGGCACAGTCAAAAGTGGACTTATTAAGGAATTGTACAATGAAATTCGCGTTTCTAATGGTAACAGATGCTTGACTCGTTTTAGTAAACCGATTCTTTGTTTATTTTGGTGATTAATGACTCGATGTGCTCGTGCCATGTCATGTTCTTGTGGATGACTACACCGAGATATTTCATTGAATCCGTATTTTCAAGTTCTTTGTTATCTATTTCAAGCTTGATACCTTGGCAGGTTTGCAATCTGCTATGGCTACCAAACAATAAAAATTTCGATTTTTTAGTGTTCAGTGTCAGATAGTTACTGTCAAACTATTGAACTAAATTGGCAAGGTCGGCATTTAGATGGTATTGAATATCTTGGCAGCGTTTTCCACTTGAGTATATCACAGTGTCGTCTGCAGACATAACTACTTGACAGTGTTCTAAGAGGTTTGGAAGATCGTTAATGTAGATAAGCAATAGTAGAGGGCCGAGGATGCTACCTTGAGGTACTCCAACATGAACTTCACAAAGAGGGGACTGGTAGCCTTCAATAGATGTTACTTGGTGCCGATTATTGAGGTATGAGACAAACCACTCCACGACTTAACAACCAGCACCAATAGCCTTGAGTTTTTTAACAAGAAGCATATGGTCTACGGTATCGAACGCTTTGGAGAGGTCAAGGAAAACTGCTCCCGTAAAACAGCCGTTATTTAGACAATGAAGTATATTGTCAGTGAAATGGGCAAGGGCAGTTTCAGTTGAAAGCTTGGAACGGAAACCAAACTGATTTGGAGTGAAGTAGTTTAGGGTCTGATAGAAAAGTGTAAAGTTTCTGGTGCACGGCTCGTTGAAGAATCTTGCTGATGGTTGGGAGAACAGTTATCGGTCTGTAGTTGTTGGAGTCCGTTTTCTTGACCTGTCTTAAATAAAGCGCATACTTTGCCAAGTTTCCAGATTGATGGGAAGGTGCTTGTCTCAATTGAACAGTGAAATAATTACCTCCCGGTTAAATAACCACCTCCCGATTAGCTCAATTGGTTAGAGCGCTGGACTGCTGTGCGGGAGGTCGAGGTCGATGGTTCGAGCCCCTGCTGGACCAACACTCAGGGTCTTAAAATAACTGTGCGGAATACGCTACTTTTCTATAATATCAAGAAATGGATAGACATGCTAGTCTTCTCGGATAAGGACGAATAAACCGTAGGTCCTGTCTCCTGGATCTAGTAATCAGTTAATTTGGTTAGGCAGGGGACGTTAAAGAACCCACTCACGAGATTACTGTGATGTGGTCTGGCCTGTTTACTGGGAATTGGGGGGAGGGGGCATCTTCAAATAAGTTTCCTTCGATTGTTTGTAAACTGCTGATGCAGTCCGGCCAAAGTCCCCCGAAAAGTTTTGTGATGCGCATTTGATCATATCCACATGTTAATTTGCTTAATATAAATATTAAATTATTATTATTATCATTATTATTATTATTATAATTTGGTCAGCATGGGTGCCACACTGAGCCTAATCCTTTAATAATCTTACACTAATACGATCTAGTCCTATGGCTTTGTTAGTTCGTAAAGCTTTCAGTTGCTTGAGAACAAATGATTCAGTGATAGTAGAGAAGGTGAACAAGTTCTCTTTTCCGATGCAATGAGAGTAAGAGGGTGAGAAAAAGTTTATACTGTTGTTAACTGTAGATTTGAGTTTTTCTTCGATTATTGCAGTTAGCTTGGTTCCGATAAGGGAGAAATGTTTATTTAGAGCCAGAGCTATGGCGCTTTTTTCAGTGTGCAAAACGCCATCAGCCTCTCTTAGAGAAACGGTAGAGATGGATTTCTTTGACGTGATCACATTTAGAGTCTTCTAAAGCTCACTGGGATAACCATTTTTCTTGTTAATTAAATCCGAGTAATAGTCCGTTTTACATTTTTTTACCAGTTTTTTTACAAAGCTCTTGATTTTTTTTAACATTCCGCTGTGGTATTTCGAGTTCGTTTTTATCGCCTTTCTATGATGAAAATCCCGGTCTCGCATAGCGTTTGATAGATTAGAAGTCATCCAGGGTGTTTTTATTCCTTTTATGCGAGTTTTCTTGATCGGCGCGTGTCTATT